ATAGTAAAAATGAATTATTTCTTTGAAAATTTTCTTCTTTGCTCCTGAGTATTATATAAACTAACCACATAATTACATAAGTACTTAATTATGTTGAATAAAGCTACCTCTTCAAAAATTGTGAATTTCATTGCCCCTGGGTTGGGGATTCTGGCGTTAGGGTGAGGCTTTATTGAATATATAGTGAAAATGCATAAATTCTTTAAAACTCTTCTTTTCTGCACCTGAGCATTTAACCAATAAACTATGTACATAGTTATGAGGAGGAAGAATGCCTCTTTGAGATTTTTGAATTTCAGGGTCCCTGGGTTAGAGATTCTTGTGTTTGGGGGTGGGGGTCTCTGATGTTTATATAGTGAAAATGCTTGAATTCTTTGAAAATCTTTTCCTTTGTTATTTGGTATAATGCCAATGATCTTAGTATATATTTATGAAAAAACTGCTTCTTCCAAAAATGATTTATTTCCTGTCCCCTGGGGCAGAGGTACTTTGGGGTGGGGGGGGGGGGGTAACATAGTCTGAAATAATTTAATGCTTTGAAGTTTGCACTTTGGTATTAATCAACAGCATGATGAAATAAAATTTTTAAAAATTTCCAAAATTTCGAAAGATGTGGCCCCAGGGTCAGTGGTTCCTGTGGGATGGGGAGCTCAACTATGGACCCGCCTTAACATAAGAAGCCCTGACCCAGGGGCCATGAAATTCACTAACAGTGGAAATGCATTTTCTCTTTGTTGCTCTGATCTACCTCTGGGTTTTAAGTAACCAAAATTAGCATGCTGAGTGTATAATTATGATAAGCAATGGTGCTTCTTTCAAAATTGTAAATTTCATGGCCTCTAGTTTAAGACATGAATCAAATTCAATTGTTGGAAAGTTGTTGCATGATACTCAGGTGACCTATGAGGCCCATGGGCCTCTTGTTATGAAATTATTGGGCTATAGGCTTCAAAATGTAATGTTATCACAGACAAAGAGAGTTGAAAGTGTAAATATTTAGAAATAGAATATGTACATAGAAAAGAAATAAATGCATAAAATCCAAAGACCACGAAAGGAAAACTACACATCAAAACTACACGTCGAGTTTCATGTGTGCAATTGGGTGTAACTTAATTGAATGGTTTATATAACTGTGTGATGGTGCCCATTTACGAGTAGGGTTCAGCTTTAAATTGCCCTTTCAATAAATCTTATAGGTATAATCCCTGTTTGCCCTCAATAGATTTGATGATTTGGATTTAAATTTTTAACTTACTTGCAAGGTTAATTGTATTATAATGAGTAATTAATGCAGTGCAAATCAACACAAAGTACAACAAGTCGTGCAAGTTATTATTAAGTAATTATTTTATATTCTTTTCAGAGCGTTTTCAGCTGGATATGCGTGGAGGTCGATCCTGAAATTCCCCCCCCCCCCCCCGTTTTCCACTTGGAGTGTCGCACACCCACCAACTGCCCTAACCCCAGTTGCCCGCACATTTATGAACTAAAAAACAACTTCAAAGTGAAAGTGGGGGACTTGCCAAATATATTATACCTGCGTGAAGGGGTAGGTATTTCAGAAACCATCATTAATTGACAATGCCCACTAAGAATTGACAATGCCCACTAAGAAAATGCATTTTATACTTGCATATACATTGCTATCACAAAGTAAGGTTCTTTATCATTTTGTAATGAAAAGTTGAACACAAGCAAGAATTGCTTTTGCATGAACAGACATAAATTAAGTCTCATAAAAGAATTGATACAAAATTTGAATGAAATTACATGAGGAAATTTATTCTTCTCTTTTTTAGCTCTACTGGTCAGAGACCAGAAGAGCTTATGCGATAGTAAGGTGTCCGTCCGTCTGTCTGTCTGTCTGTCCGTCCGTCTGTAAACAATTTTTCAAAATGCTACTCCTCCTACAGTTTTGGTCTGATTTCAGTATAACTTGGCACACAAGTAGACTACACTAAGATACATAATTCTGTGTATCGGTTTTTGATTTCGATGAACGGTGTTGCCATGGTTACTAAAAATAGAAATTTCTGTGAAATACTTTCAAAATGCTACTCCTCCTACAGTTTTGGTCTGATTTCAATATAACTTGGCACACAAGTAGACTACACTAAGATACATAATTCTGTGTATCGGTTTTTGATTTCGATGAACGGTGTTGCCATGGTTACTAAAAATAGAAATTTCCGTGAAATACTTTCAAAATGCTACTCCTCCTACAGTTTTTATCTGATTTCAATATTACTTGGCACACAAGTAGACTATAATAAGATACATAATTCTGTGTATCGGTTTTTGATTTCGATGAACATTGTTCCCATGGTTACTAAAAATAGAAATTTCCTTGAAATACCTTCAAAATGCTACCCCTACAGTTTTGGTCTGATTTTAGTATTACTTAGCTCACAAGTAAACTACACTAAGATACATTATTCTCAGTACCAGTTTCGGATTTCGATGAACTGTGTTGCCATGGTTACTAAAAATAGAAATTTCCTTGAAATACTTCAAAATGCTACTCCTCCTACAGTTTTGGTCTAATTTTAGTATAACTTAGCACACAATTAGACTACACTAAGATACATAATTCTCTGTACCAGTTTTGAATTTCAATGAACGGTGTTGCCATGGTTACTAAAAGTAGAAATTTTCTTGAAATACTTTCAAAACGCTACTCCTCCTACACTTTTTGTCTGATTTCAGTATAATGTGACATACAAGTAGACTACAGAGATACATAATTGGTGTTATTGTTTTTTGATTTTGTTGAATGATGTTGCCATGGTTACTTAAATCAAAATTTCTGTAAAATTGTTTTAAAAGGCTACTCCTCCTACAGTTTTAGTCTGATATAATAATAGATCTTGCCACAAAAGAGACTGAACCAAGGATCATTATTCTGTTTATTGCTGTTGCAATGTTTCAAGTCAAAGTGCTGCTTTTATCTTCCTTTATAAATACAACCAGTAGAGCTACAGTCTCGTCAGAGACTTCTGGTTTTTAGTATTTTGCCACAGAAGAAACTTTCACTGGATTTGGGGATGTTCTCATGTAACAAGAGAATATAAATTTGTAGCAGTTTTTTTTTTCTTTTCCCCATCACATTTGTATAGAGTACCATTTTTCATTATTGAGCATTTGATATCATTATGAGCAGAGATTTTTTTTCATAGACAGCAATATGGCTGCTTTGTATCAACCATTAATAGAGCGAATAAAAAAACAGAAAATATTATCAATGCATGGATTTGGAAAGGATTAATGTTTGGAATGATCCTGTACAATTTAATAAACATAAGAAATAACACAATATTCATTTTCTTCTTTATTATATCTTATTATTATATCAGTAATCAACTGTTTATCCTCAAATTGAATGTAAAAAGTGGGTATCTTGACAGAGGAACTATTAAAAATGAATCAAGGTCAGATATAACCAATGTACTATTATTTTTGTTCTCCATCGCCCCAAAGGGAATTTTTCACTAAATCCACTTTAATGTGGATAAAAGTACACGATCAAAATACACCTTTTTAGAATTTTAAAATGGTACCTATTTGACCAAAAAGAGTCTTTAAAATATTTTTGGAAAAGTCAAAATTATAAAAGCCCCAGCAGTATTGGAACTCGTGACATGAAAGATTTGTAGACAAACCGATTGTTATATACCGTTTGGTAACAATTATGGGTAAGGAATGATTCATAAAATTATACTTGATTCTTCTGGTATATTTTGATCAGAACAATATCCAAAATATGGAGGCATCCCATTACTCCTGAACTTTTTTTTTATTTTGATACTGAAATTTTGACCTTTACAGAGTATCAGTTCACTAATATTAGTTTCACAATCTGATTCATTCAAGTATTAATCACTTTCAAATATCGTTAATCCAACATCTATTTATATTATTATATTGCTTAATCTAGGTTGAAGGACTTACAGTAAAACTCAAATACAGCTTTTTTTATTATAAATTCATACTTCATTAAAGCAAGTTTTATTAATGCATTGGTAAGTTAAGTAGATGTATTGAAATAACCAACCAAAATCACTTATACATGGTGCTTCACTGTAATCATGTTGTACTTGGTTAGAACGTGAGTTTTTGGCCAAAAAGTTTCGTTTGAAATTCAGTCAAGTTAAACATTAACTTCATTACTATCAAGCGGCATGGTCTCGCTTATGGTCAAATTTGATATTTCTGCTTTCATTGTTAACAATGCTTTAAAATGCATTTCTAATTATAAACCAACTTTGAGCGTCAGTTACAGATATGAGCAAGATACAGATCTCAAATTTTTCTGTCATGTAAACAAGGCTCCGGTCATGTTTTTGTTTCCATTTGGTCAAAATAGCGAAAAAAGATCTTTTTCAAACTGATTTTCTTTCGTCTGATTAGTTTTGAACATAAACAAGTAGTTTCTAGCATTTGTCGGATTCATTTTAGGTCTAAACCTGGAAAATTCAAAATGTAAACAAAAACATAACTCGAGATTTGTTTACATAACAAAGAATTGTGTGCTATGTATCTCACTTACAACTTGACGACCGATGTTCAAATTTTGGTTGAGCATTAGAAATGCCTTACTTAAATATTTACATTATAACTTTTTAAGCACTCTTCAGTAGTGTCACATTGTCAACAAGTTGTGAAATTGTTATCTGGGAGGCATAGTAGTAAGTTGCAGGACTCTTTAAATTTGCATTCACTGGTTAAACTCCCAAGTAATATAAAGAACATTAAAAGAACTACTGGATAATATAAATTAAAATTCAATGCATTGATATTTTTTTTATTGTTTTTTTTTCATATGTACATGTTTTACAATTCCCATCCCATATAATATGTTTCCTGATGATGTACAATGTACATGTACTTGATGTGTACAAACAGATGTTCATAATTAAACATACACAACCCAGAATTTATAGAATATATTATTAATTATAAGAATAGGATATAAAATACCCGAAAAAAAAGAAGCAAAAAAATTAATGATATATTTGGTGTTCCAATACATCTTTGAGTGCAATATACATAGTTCTGGCTTCTAATATTGTTGAAGGACGGTAATAGTCTGAGATGATGTCAAAAGCTTCCTTAATGTCATCATCCAAGTCATTTTGAAAGCAGCATTGAGATTTCAGAAAATGAAACCGCTCATCATTAACATCGATATAATGAAGATAATTTTGGCACTGTGGATTGCCTGAAATAAAAAATGAAATAAAACATCATACACAATTAACTAAACATGTTTTTCAGTTTTCAATATAAAATTCCTTTGGAAAAATTCTTACATTTTCATAGGAAAATACTTTGTATATATTAAATCATTTGTGACCTTGTTGTTCTTAAACGATGTGTTTCATAGGACATAGGTAAACAATTGCAATTTTTTTCTCTTATAAAAGTATTACACAGCGAAACACGTCATTTCTTGTGGGTTAAGCATCTTTCAAAGTCAAGACTTTCTGATCCGCTCCGCTCTACATAAACCCTTGACCGAATAGGCAGTGTTTGGCTGGGTTAGAAACCTCGCACGCTGGTTGGTGTCATACAAGTTTGCATGATCCAATAAGAAACGTGGTTTCAATAATGATGTTAATTGTGCATTGATCAATGTTGAATCATTGTCAAATAAATTTGAGACGAACTGCCTATTCGATCAAGGGTTTATGTAGAGAGGAGCAGATCAGAAACTCTTGACTTGGAAAGATGGGGTTAAGAGGTTATATATACATGTATGTCAACATATTAAATGATCTTTTAAAAAGAGACTTTAAATTTCATGCATTTTTAATTCCAACAAATTTTTAACTAAAAGATACTCTGACAGGGGCCAAAATTTTAACTTTCTTTAATTGTTACTATAGATATATACATGTACATGCTACTTTAACACAAGAGGAATGGGGAAATGTCTGGTATAAAGCTTTTTTTGTAACACAGTTCCTTGTAAGCAACTTATGATGAAATTTCTTGATTTTAAGTTCATTTATACACAATTTTCTATGAGAAAAAAAATCAGTTAACAAATGTACAAAAGTCTGTTGATCCAGCATTGTAGTCTTTAACAGTGTCCACAAGAGTTACATATAAAAAATTGAATCTAAAGAACTTTCAAATACAAACCTATTTTTACTTTCAGCAAAAAAAAATATGTGAACCGAAATTTGATCACTTTGTAAATGATTCCAGAATCAAAACAAGTAAACTGACCTAACATTTCAGGAACATGATAAAGGAGCTCAGGTATCCCAGGAACAATATCACCTGATTTTTGTTTCCTGATTCTGTGGTTATTCCAGGCAAATTTCACTTCTTCCAATTCTTCTCTGATAATCTGCATGTAGCAGTACTGAACTAAAGTTCTGAAATGAAACTTGATATTAGTTTCTTGGCTTCAAACATGGATCTGATTGGTTCATTAGCTTTTGATACTTTTGATATTGAATTTAAACCACACATATTTGTGTGATATACTGACAAACCGGTAGCAACTGACAAAGCAAAGACAACAGAAAATATAAACAGCAAGGGGCCTTGACAGTCACTTGAGTCCCATAACCCTTAGATTGACATGTCAGAGTCTCATGTTTGCATTTTCAGCTTCATTTTGAGTTCTAAACCCTTATCTTAGAGTCCTATGACTGTTACCTTGCCTTTATTATTTTAGATTCATTCACATGGGGGAGTAGTTCAAGAGTCCGAGGAATTTTGAATTGTCTATACCTTTATAGCTACAGAGGCCAATTTTTTTTTTTATTCTATTAATGATTGAATAGTTAGCCTATTTAATCTGTTGGTTATTTCTAAGTAAAAAGCAAACTTACATATGAAGAGCATCACCAATTGTAAAATGACCATCTTTTTCTAATTCCTGAAAACCATAAGAAAAATAAATAGAAAAGCAGAACAATATTGCCTAAACTTGAATACCCGTCTTAAACCATTTTTTTTACCCAATCCTTTGTTTATTTTTAGCTTTTATATTTAGTATATATTATCCAGTATGATATACATCTACTCCATTTTTCAGAATCAGGAATCAAAACAAGATATCTGTGAGCCAATGCTCACTAGTAATACCACCGCTCTAATGTGAATATACAAAATAAGCAAAGTGGACTTAAACAGGAAGTTGACCCCCAAACAATGTGTACAAAAATATATCCAAGTGTATAGAATTCCTAAACAAATAGTGTGTTAAAATTTTAAGCACCTGCAATGAATAGTTGCTGAGAAAAATACGACAAAAATTTTTGTTACGGACAGACAGACAGACAGACACACAAGGGTAAAACAGTATACCCCCTTCTCCTTCAGAGCGGGGGTATAATTAATGCATTTTATCATATTAATAACTGGTAACCACAAATCACATCAGATATGATCAGAACATACACTATAACAAATTTCACTGCACTACATTAAAAATCATATTCTTCACAATCTAAAAGTTAATTCTTGATCATCCGAACTACATAGGAAAAAGGTTCATAAAACTAAACCTTGACCGTCAACCTCCTCCACACCCCTGGAAAAATTTCTGCATCTGAGTCGGTCAATGCATTCTTTGTTTTGGTTGGCTTAATCATTTCATCAAATGATATTGTAATTTAAGTCATATCAAAAGTTGGCACAACATTCCCACCCTCCATATCCAGATTATCACAGTGTTAATATATGCAGTCCATCTTTTACATCCTTAAATATTGTTAAATAAGAAATGCTCTCCCCAATAAAGAATGAGATGGTGTTGCTTAGTAGAAGAGTGAATGAATATGAAATTTTTACAGCACAGCTATATAAACCTCCTGCATATCCATTAAGTGAACAACAGAAAGTTCTATGCAACACTGGTTTTATTGTTCAAAGTTAAGAAATATATTTATCAGCATTGTCAACTGCAGGTTAACTTGATTGTGTCCATTCTTAAAACAATGAAGGTAATGTTTTAAGTTGGATATTAGCCTCAAGCTGTCCATTCTGTGAGAGAAAGAAGTAATCTCGGCCCTACAGGCCTTGATCAGTTTTCTCTCACAGAATGAACAGTGTTCGGCTTATGTACTTTACTTAAAGGATGGAAAAAATACTTGTATTTTTCTAACCTTAAAATGATGAATCCATTGATCTGTGCATTTTCTTCTCAAAATTCCCCACCATCTCTCTATCCTCTTCAATAAAAAACATTAAAATTTAGAAGCTATGTTGCAGATTTAATATACAGTCATTCAGTCAAAATTCAAAGTGAAAGGGCAGTGCTTTTAAATCAGTCAATAACCACTAATATTGGGATGGGTTTGAACAACTTCACATATGACACAATGACACGACCTGTGGTAAATTAGGTAATAGTTAATAATAAACATTACTTGATTATGAGTGGATTTTCCATAGAGGAAGGATTTCTTGCTGAAGCAGTCATCATCATCTTCTCTCAAGAAGTTTTGAATGGCAGCTACTGTCCCATTCTCTGTTCCTTAAAAAATATGTGGGTATTTCAAACAGGGATATAAAGAAACAAAAAGGTAGTTTACACATAAAATCAATAAAAAGAATTCTAGGGTACAAAAAAATTACCCTCAAAAGATGAAGGCCGAAATCTCACAATAAAATTAGTTTCAAAAGCATGTTATCTTCTATAATGGGTAATCAATTTCACCCAAGCTCAACTATTATTTAATTTTCTAAAGTTGAAGTATCAAGACCAGAGAATAACAAATCATTTGTTTATAAACTAGACATAATTGAGATAGTCGTCTCAAAAGGACTGGATAAAAAAATGGACATAAGGATGAAAAGTTTTTTCAGAGAATTTGCTTTCACCTTAGAAATATTTTCAGTTGGCATAGAACTTTTAATTCAATCTCATTAATCACACAACCTTGACCACAGGCAACCAGTGGTTGCAGTATAACTTAGATTAAGATTTAAGAAGGTATGCTCCTGACCAGAGTTTTTTTTGTTGTTTTTTTGACATACTGTAAACCAACTTTTATTCGCGTGCGAGAAATTTTCGCGAAGTTTGCGAGACCCTCGTCATCGCGAATATTTCTCGCCGCGAACCGGTCATTATGGTCTATGTGTTTAATAACAAGAGAACCTAAATAGGCGTGATCGCGAAAATTAATCGTCGCGAACTAGTTTACCCCTGGTAAATCGCGAAATAAAGTCGTCGCGAATAAAAGTTGGTTTACAGTAATTCTAATAGGACATTCACATCTGACCTTGAAAGGTTCAAGGTTAATGCACACCCTTTAACTTAACAAGATGCCCACAGGTCTTGATGGTCACCCAAGTACCATAGCTCTTAGATTGATATGTCAGTCTTATGTTTTCATTTAAAGCTTCATGTTGAAGTCTAAATGCTAATCTGAGACTCTTATGTTACCCCACTTTTATTATTCGTTGTTTAAAAAACACTTTTTTTTTTTAATGAAAATGTTGATGGGGTGGGAGTGGAGGATTGTACCTGTTTGACAGCAGCCCACCCATAATTTTCACCATTTTAATAACAGGACTTTTCTTTTGGAAAACTCATTTAAAAATTGCAGGTTCACATATTCAAATGGTTTTCAAAAAATGCACAAATTGTCATACTATTCTATGCAGTAGGAAAAAAATCTATAGGATGGGGGACAAATTTGTCCTTAGAGACGGACTGGATGATTCCAGCATACCTCCTTTAGATTTATTTGCAGGGGTATCTATGTTATTACTAGCCTGACAAATCAATAACATGATTTATTCCACTCTTTTTTTTTCTTTTTTTTTTTTTAAAAATCACACTGTATGGTTTTAAAAAAAAACTGACCTGCATCTCCTCGAATAATATGTGGAAATCCTACAAATCAGTATTCAATATGTATATACATCAACATTAATAGATGCAAAAGGTAAAAAAATATTACAGAAAACAAGCCATCTTGCTTTAACTCCAGAAATCAAATGAGATATTGTCTTCAATATGTTCATTTAACAAACCAACTCTTCCAAATCTTTGCACTGAATTACATGTACCTTTAACATTCTCCAAAGTCTTCAAAAAGTACCCTGCAATCTTTTTGGGTTTTTTATTGCTGACACCAGCTTCCACCCAAAGCACATAGCGGGAAAACCTAAAATTACAATGGAACATGTAAGATTTGTAAGCTTTTGCATTACCATATTCACCTCTGGGTGGAGAGAGTGCACTAGTAAAGTAACTTGCCCAACGTAACCGCAATAGTGACAGACTAGACTCGAACCCGGGGCTAAATCTGTCAACGCTATCAAATGCGCCTACATCTCTAGGGACATAGTAAGAAGTATAATTAATAAATTCCCAACATTTTATGTTTACCTACCCATCAATGCATCCACTGATATATATCCCAAAAGGGCTCAATTTATCATACTGATCTACAATTATTAAAAAAGATACTAAATATCATACAGTTTTTAATTTAAAAATCTATATACACCATAAATGATTCATTCTGCTGTTTACTGGCATTCATTGATCAGCAGACTTCACCAATGTATTTGAAATATACGTACATTGCAATGACTGGTTTCAAGCATAGAAACTAAATATCATTACACGTGTATATGTTGCTCATGTGCCACAGTACTATACATGTATCATAATGCATGAAAATAAAATACTAAAATGAATTAAATTTGATTTAACAACTTTAATAACAGAGATTCATTTTGAAAATTGTCTTCAGGAGTCCAAAGGCCCCCTTTTAACCATAATTATGAGTCCCAAGCCGAAAACAACAAGTCCATATTTATTTTACATAGAACATGAATATCAAACAAGCTATGCTTATCTAAACTAAAATTTTAAATGACCATACTAAGAGACAGGCAAAGTGCTGTCACTGGGACCCTTCAGAGTTTCGCCTGTTTCTTTATCGCCTGTATCAATAGCCATTTATTGCACGTTCTGGATCAGCGTTCCTTTTAGCATGAACCTCTTTGTTGTTATTAACTGCCACTTGTCTACTTTTTCATAAACCCTGGTTAATATATCCTGGATCCAGAGTAATTTTATCCGTTTTATTCGGTAGCATCATGATCAACATCAACACGGTAATGTCATGTATCATTGGATCTCATTGGTTAATTACTAAGTGTTGACCTATGAGATTTCTGCTTTTGTAGTGTGTTTTAATTCGGAATATTTCGGGCATCTAGTTTGTAGGTTAAGAAAGGAACTTCTTAGCGAAAAAATGGGCATGTGTATTTTTAAAATGGGATGCACAAACAGTGAAATTATGTTTACTGAGCAAATTTTGTGTATATTTTATGCAGGACGCACCACGTCAAAATGAATCACTGGCTAAAAAGTTTTAAAAAAATCCATTTGCAATTTGTCATAAAAATGCTAACTTACCTATATGCCAAAGCCAATTGGGACCTGTTAAATTGCAATGACAAGGATTCAACAAAATATTATCTTATTAATCCAAATGTAGTACATGTATTGAACAAAAATTATAAACCATAACTTTTTGCACATGTAACTCTACATTCAAGGTAAATAATTATGAAAAACCTTTACTAAGGTACTGTCTTCGTTTCAGTTTGTTTCCCTTTCTGAGGGACACGCCGACAGGGTCTAGTGTTCTCATTATTTGCCTCACCAATTCTCTATCAAAAAAGTACAAATTAATACATTTTTTCCACATTCTCTGTGTACCTGCAACTGTGTGTAACCAAGGAGAAATATTCTTAGTGTTAACTATATAATGATAGTTAAAAAAGTCTACTTTACCTTCGAACATTGCACCCATGGATTGTTTTCAATCTGAAAAACATGTCAGATATACTTCGATCTGGTTTTATTTTCACTTCATTCTGAAAGTAAAAATAACACACAAACACATTATGCATGCATTTTTATTTATATATTCTCTCTCCCTCCAAACACAGGCACGTATGTGTGTGTACATTGAATTTACCTTTATAAGATCCAATACTTCAGCAAAATCTGTCAGGTTTCTATTTCCTCTTCTGTAATTTAAATTTAATCTTGGCATTACTTTTCTCTTCAGATATTGGAAACTGGAAGAAAATAGAATTTTAAAGTATTTTATTCCTTTCAGTGAATAAAAAATGTATTTTTATTAAAATTACTTAGCCTTAATTAGCATGTCATTGACATACCAACACACCTTTATTTTAGAAGGTTAGTGGTAGCAGCAGCATTGCACAGTGCATATTCAATACAAAAGCACGAGGAAAGAGATGCAACTACTCTGGTATTTAATATTCAAACATGTAGCATCATTTTTCGAAGTGGAGAAGAAAAAAGGGGGTGGCGGTAGTCTCCTTATATTTTGAATTTGATTTCAATATACAATTCCTTCACTTTCTTTTAAGCTGTTCAAACAATGTTGGAGGAAGGAGGGGGTGGGTAGCTTCTAGCTATAAAATCTAATTTCTATTGAATAAATTTTAAGAAAAGGTTGGTTGATAACTCTGTTCTTTTTATATGTATGCTTGAAGAATGGGTGGGGTTGATGTTGTTTTTGTAGTTATTTAAGAAATTGTTATTTTTCCTTCTTTTTAATCAAATTACATGTAGCTATATATACATGTACACACACATACCTATAGTTTTGACCATGTCTTATTTTCAGTAAAAAGTGAATTTCCTTGTGAGATAAACCTCTTCTGTGGTAACTTCTAATGATGTCTTTTAAATCTACAAAAATATACAACAAGCATTTATTTACTAGTCTGTCATAATGATAATGATCATAAAAATACAATATTTTTATACCAGTGAAACCGGTAGGGTAATAATAAGGTGATTGCTTAATTGGCATCAGCAAATACTTGCAGTGCCCAAGTTACAAAATGAATATTACTTACTTTCATCCATATTTCTGTGTCCTCATTTATGGTGCACATACCAAATTAAACCCTGAAAATATAACCTATACCTCTCACAAAAAGTCAAGCAACAAACTCATTTTTATTCTTTTTAAAGGAAAAATTACTTGTAATTGAAGGTATAGCAACAAAACCATCTATTACAAGTTATTTCTCCCTTAAAAACATACCTATGAGATAGTTGCTTGACTTTTTGTGAGGAGTAGTTTTACACATGCTATTCAATCAAAACTTTATTGATCAAAGAATTCTTAAAACTCATGTAATACTACATACATCAAATAAGGCAAAATGGCAGAACACCAAGGGTGCGTTTGATGACATACCTCAAATATAATCATTATAAATTTGATCAGAAGTTGTTAGTTCTTTTGTAAAACATTGCTTGGATATTAGCCCAATTCAATATTACAATACTGTGTGCCAATTGTGAATATTACCTCTCAATACCTAAGCAGCTTTCTAAAAAAAACTCTTATAGTTAAATCTAATCTATTTTCTTAATCAACGTTTGTCATAATAATGTAATTCATACACTTTTTAAACACATCATCGTTTCATAGTATCATTCTTTTTTGCTTACATTTAATTTGGCTCAGTTCCATATTCAAATAACTTTTACCATTAACATTGAGCTATGAATAGATTTTGAGAAAATTCTGCGAAATAACAAACCCGATTTGTATATAAAAAAAATCCCGTCCAGTTTCACCAAAAAAGGGACTTATGAAATAAAATAAGAGTTTTACATTTATTATCTTTTATGCAGTACAAGTACATAACCTCTGACAAACTGAATACATTTCAAGCTCTAATAGTATTTCATATACATGATATATTTGTTTTTTATGAGTCACACACAATATCTGTATTCTGTTATCACTATAAATCTAATCACATATGCAGTAAAATGCTTGTCCATTAGACCAATATATTAATACAATGTAACCATAGCAATGACAAATGATATATTTGATGCATTTAAATTAATAAATGCATTGCAATTGGTTCAGCAAATAAAAAATTACCATAGTCAATTTGAAAATATATGCATAAATAAAGTTTAACAAATTAACTTTGTTATTAATAGAGATTGTTCTATTTGACGTATCCGTATCCGTATCTGTATCCGTATACGTATCGAGGTATGAGAGGCATCTCGATCCCGATGATTTAACCGCTGGGTAACATTTCTATCGTTTCTTGTTTGATTTTAACCTCATTCATTGGAAAATAAGATATATAGTAATATTTCTAACGAAACGTATCAAGTTGCTGTTCACACCTATCATTTTATGGAAGGATTTTAAAAAAATAAAATTAGTGAAAAAGTATGTATATTTTTATTAAATTGTTTAAAAATAGAAAAAAAAAAGGTTCAAAAAGGGACTTCCCCCTCTCTCTCTCTCTCTCTCACACACACACAATATCAGGATATATTATTGTTTCATTCTCGAAGTAACCTTTACCAGTACAAGACATATTCCCCATAATGCATACAGTCAACGCTCGTTATCTCAAACGTGATTGGACCAATTAAAACTTCGATATATCCAAGGATTTGAGTTAACAAAGTTTAACTGTACGAGGTGTCATATATCAAACATTCTAGATGAGTATAAGTTTGTCTACATCAAACAGACACTTAAAATTGATTAACAAAGTGGAGAAGGGGGAAGCTGGGCCGAGACAGGGAGAAACCAAAAAATGACAAGTCACCTTAGCAAAACTTTGACAATATAAAGGTGTAGAAATTAATCAAACTCTTAAAATAAACCTATTACTGGGTATGTGTGTGTGTGTGGGGGGGGGGGGATGGATATTAAGTTTTGAGTTCCTCTTTTCCACAAAAATAATTACGGATACATTAACTGTCAAAGATTAATTTGACCATACTGCATACTCTGTGTGTGTGTGGGTGGAGGGGGGGGGTATGGATATTAAGTTTTGAGTTCCTCTTTTCCACAAAAATAATTACGGATACATTAACTGTGAAAGATTAATTTGACCATACTGCATACTCTGTGTGTGTATGTGTGTGTGTGGGGGGGGGGGGGTGGAACTGAAAATTTCCATCCTCATTTTCTTTTTTATCATTATCAACATTCTGTATATCATTTGATTATATGTGATGGACATAGTTCTCCAGAAAAGCTTTGGAAAGCTGGCAATTCTGGGATG